GGGGGGGGGGGGCACCCATGGTGCGGATTAATTCGCTCCCTCCCTCTCCCTCTCGCTCGTACCCCTTGGCAGTGGAGGGTTGTCCAGTTTCGTCGGTCCCGGGGACAGATGCAGTTCTCTATGGCCTCTTTCTGGATCTCCTTCGGGGCCGAGGCGCGCACGCTCCTCGACAGTTATACATTTCCAGATGCGAGGCCCCCGAGCCCGGCGCATGGTCGTGCCTTGGTGGGGTGGGCTCCACACACCGGGGCTCCCCCCGGGCCCCTCTCCAGCATGACACTAGCCCGCCCCTGGCCCACCCCCCGCCCCCCTCCCTGCGGACATAGTGTTGGCTTGCTGGGTTCTCGGCATCGGGCCCATTGTCGAGCGGCGCCCACTTGGCGGGTGCCAGCCATCCGGCGCGGGAAATGGCGCCCCCGACCTCGGTCCCCATCGATGAAGGGTGTCGCCTTGGACGGAGGCCGGGAGCGGCGAGGGCCTACCATGAGCAGTCCCTGCCGGGAGCCTGCTGCTGTGTCCCGAGGGCATGTTTATATTCACCGGGGCCTGTGCGAGGATTGTCGTTGGGGAGACGACCCATTGCCGAGTAAGCAAGAAAAACAGCCCCCCTTGCCGCCCTCATTCTGACACACCAGCCCCAAGGGCCCGGGCGAGATGCCAGGGCGAGGCATGGCGAGGGGAAGGATCCCCCGGGTATGGAGCCTGGGCGCTTAATTTCCTGTTGCGATCGGATGACGAGCGCATTGTGGCCCCGTGGCAATGGCCTGGTTTTGAAGCTGGCACTCCCGTGGCACCCTCAGGAGGAAGCCCCTGCCCACGGCCGCGACGCCGTGCTGGCGTGGTCGAAAGCCAGGACATGCCCCCAAGGTGGCTGTGCTCGCGCGAGTGGGGAGCCCATTGCCGAACACCGCAAGCGAGCAATGTGTGGCCCGAGCTGCAGTACGGCACGCCGCGCGGCCACGACCCATCCCCTACATATGGAGCCCTTTCCCTCTTTCGGCTCTGTCTCCTGGGATCGATTTCCACAGGGGGGATGTCCCAGTGAAAGAGGTTACCTGGCAATCTCCCAGCGGCTCGAGCCCCTCGCCCCCACTCCGGGAGAGGGTTTCGCATTCCTGCCGTCCCCCCTGGGTGTGGCTCTCAATTTGCTCGGCGACCCGGCCCAGGGCGCCTCGAGGGATTCCCTCTTGCCTGGCACGCGACCGCCGACTCGGGGAGCATCCCGCTCGAAAGGAGCCAAGGCTCAATGCTCACCTCCATTCGTGGACGCGGGAGGCGGGGGGGGGGGGACAGCCGCCCGAACATGGGGGCAGGATCTGGGGCCCTGCAGGCGGGCGGCCTATCGAGCCCATGCGTATCCTGCATGTCCACCAACTTTCGGCCTCGTTTCCTGGTCGGCCCAGTGCCGAGGTGCGGGGCTAAGATGTGTTCCCTGAGCATTCAACCGGTCTGGCGGATTTCCAACCCGCTTATGGGTGGTGGTTGCTGAAAGGGGAGAATCCCCGGAAATGTGCCGAGTCTGGCAACATGCTGGAAATGCCTCCCGCAACCGAGGAGCCAAGTCCGAGAGATTGCAAAGGAGGAGGCACTGGGCCCCCGGGCATCCAGGCCGCCTGGCGCCCTCCGAGCAGGCCGAGACGTAGTTCGGCGAGGGAGGGGCCAAGAGGGCGGGAAATAGGCAGGCTGGCCCGATCCCCACTCCGGCGGCCGGCAACACCGCCGCGATCTTCTGACGTGTTACGCTTCCGAGACGGCCCTCTCCGGCCCGTGGCGCCCAAGGCGCCGGCCCTTTCCCCACCTCCTACCCCTGCCCGCTCTCGACCATCACACCGCATGCCCTGCGGCCCAGGACCCCAGCAGCAGAGCCAGGCGAGGTCAAGGAGGTGGGGGCGCGACGTGGCGAGCATGGCGTCCCAGGACATGCACGCACCCTCGCGACCTCGCCCGTCCAGGTGTTCCTCTTGCCCCCGCCTGCCCCCGAATGCACCTATATAATCCACCTGAGCGCCGGGAAATGGCGATGTGCATTCAAAGCGGTGTTCCTGGCTCCCCTCTCTTCTTCATCTGTGCCCAATCCCCCAACTTGCGCCCCGCGCCTCCTCACCCTTTGCCCCTGCTTGCATCTTTCATCCCACGCCAGTGCCCGTCCTACAATCGGACGGCCGTTTGGGCTCCTTCTGCCCCGAAGTCGCCTGCCCGTCTATCAAGCCATTCGGTGTCTCGCCTTTTAAGTTGCCGTGTACGTTCCACACCCACAACTCCTCCCCATGGCGCTCTTGTCGTGTTTTGGTTCCCACCATCTGGCACGGAGGTCTTGCTTGGACTCGATGCATACCCCACAACTGACCGGCGTGCACCATCCCCCCCCACACAGAGGGAACCCTGCCCCCTTGGCCCGTGCCTCTGTCCCGGCGTGCGGTCCTGAAGGCGTGCCCAGCATGTCGGACTTACTCCACACCGGCGGCACCCCTGCCCCCTCCCGGGTGCCTTTCGGCTGGCGAACCATTGTCTCCCTCGGCCTGCTGGCCCTGCTGGTGGTTTGCAGCATTGGAACCACCAGTGTCCGAGCCCTCGCCCTTGCCCAGCCCAAGGGCGGCCTCTGTGGCCCGCCTCGGTGCTATGCCCCCGAGTGCGCCGGGGTCACGCCTCGGACCAAGGTCGATTATTTGATCCTGCTCGATGTCTCGGTGTCCATGGACCCCTCCATCCTGGCAGTGAAGAATGGTGCGCTTTTCCCGGGTCTCGAAGCCCCGCCCCCCTCCCCCC